CTCCCAGCCATGGCTGGGCTCCTGGTGAATAGAGGTTGATACAGATCTGGATTTACAGTAAAATAGATCCTGCTAAGAAACAATGGCCACGCTGCACAAACACCTCCCCCACTAGGAGTAGCGGAGGCAGGTTATGGCCCAGGAATGGGGGAGCTTGGTTGAGCACCCCCAGGCTGCTCTTGCCCTCCTGGGGTGCAGACACAGATCTATATCAGAGAGGTGACCTCACCCAGGTCAACAGCTAAGCCAGCAGGAGACACCTGCCCTCTTCCAGCACTGCCCTGGTGTCCCTGCCTGTACCCAATACCTATCACAGGACAGGTACCCACCTCTCCAGCCCCTTCCTGGGAACTTCCATTCTCAAAAGCAAGGTTCAAAGTTGTGGGGACCAGCTATTATATGCAGGGCACACAACCAGGTACAAATGATATGTGCTGTTTTGAGACATAATAATTCTTAGAAACTCATCACCCATGCCTTCAGAGTCACAAAACTCATTAAGGTTAGAGTCAGTTACTTTTCTCTCCATGATAACTGGAGGGATGCTTTCATGGAAATTTTTCACTAAAAGAGGTCCTTCTTATAGTAGTACCAGAGACAAGAGACTAAAACCTAGATTCTGGCCATTGCATGGAGTCAGAGTAGTTTCATCTTCATTATCTAAAACAATTTCAGTGGGTCCCTGGTGTGCTATGGTAGGGTTATTCCCAATAAGTAACTTCTTGATTGGTTTCCAATAATATAATTTGGGGTTAACGGTATGTGGTGTAAACTGAGACCTGAGAGTCTTGTGATCAAAGTCACATGCAAAAACCCAGTTAGAGAATCATTCTGTTCTTGGTGTTCCCTGCCAGAATTGCCTGTGCTCATCCTGACCTGTGGTTGTTTGTTTCTCATTCTGGCCCAGTGCCCGAGCCTGGTGCCAGCTCCTGGCAGTGGAGCTTCAACTTAAGGTCAGTCATCCTCTGGGAGGTCCAATTAGGAATGGGGGTGCTTTTTTTTAACATTATAATAGTTTTTTTTTTTGCATCATTTTGTGCCTTTTTCCATCTCAGTTGTAATCCCCATGGGCTTCCCATCACCAAATCACCCATGTGCCATCACCATAGTCCATTGCACTACCCACTGCCCCGCCCCATTTTTGATCCCATTCCCCACTCCACCCCCATAAAATGCCTCTGGTATATGGTTGTTCATTATTATTATCCTCCCCCGCCCACCTTGGTCCTTTATGCTCCTGCTATGGGTAAAACCATCTGGTATTTTTCCTTTTCTTTCTGGCTTATTTCACTAGCATGATCCCTTCCAGCCCCCTCCATGTTGCTGCAAAAGGCATCAGTTTATCTTTTTTGATTGCTGAGTAATGGGATGGGGGTGCTTTTTAAAACACCAAATGTGTACAGATTGTGAGTGCCTGGTCTGGTTCTTTCTAGTGAGGTTGGAGGGAGCCCCTGGCATAGTGTTGTTTTC